CAGTCTGATATGCTCATCTTCTCGAAACTCACTGAGACAAACAGAGCAGTCTGTGACACCAACCAACCCATCTCCTTTTTTGTACTTACACACTGTGATTGACTTTATCAGAGCTTCATCTAACCCATTGGTTTGGACATGCCAGGGCTCGTGCAGCGAAGGGTTGTGGTTATCTTCAATCTCATCATTCTGGGGAAGATTCTCTCCGTCTGAAGATCTTCCTCTGTTCCCACAGTACTTGGACATGAACGTGTAATAACTTACCAGAAGGAAAGCACTGGCCAATATCCCAATTATGGCTATAACGAGAGGAGAGAAATTTGGGGATGAATCGTCATCTTGAGGGAAATCGAGGGCAGGTGGAGGAGGAGGAGGAAGCACTATATAACACCACTGTGGACAGTAAACACTGCAAAAACCTTGAGAGCAATCTCTGATGTTCACGTAGGGAATCCAAGTTTTTGGGTTGCCAAGCGCAGCCATGGAAAAATATTACAACTTGGGGTTCTAATCATGGAGTTTCCATCTTCCTGCTAAGCAAACATGGACAAAATTGATCTTATAGCCCAATGATTAGAATGAGTGAGTGAGAGAGAGAGAGAGAGAGAGAGAGGATGGGAGAAGATGAGTTTCTGGGAAAGGAAAAGATGGCGTGGAAAGAAGGGAAAGACGAGGAAAATGGGAGGACCAATTGGCATGCTTTTGCTTTTCTTTTGTTGTGCAGGGCTTTCTCTTTTCTTTGTTACAACAGTATAATGGCCTCTTGACTAAACAGTGATCATGTTTGTTGGGAATTTATTGAAGTAATCAATACTTTTTCTATTTAATTTTTCTTTCTTGTCCTCCTTGATTTCAACAAAGTGCAACATAGTGCTTTTTTTTTTTTTTTAACGATTTGAACGAAAGGGATTTAGTTCTTTTCTATTCATTTACTTCTTCTCTTTTTATTTTGAAAACATTTGGTTAACTTGTAGTAACTTGGAGATTCAAATGCTACGGTTTTTCTGAAAAATCAAAATAATCATGATTCAAAACTCACTGTAATTCCATGCAGGGCTATTAATGTGTGGAGCCACTTGAGCCGTCAAGTTTGTTGCACCAGGCACAGCTAATGTAGTTAGGACTTCTAATTATTTATGAACGAATTTATGAACATATCCTGTCCCAATTTATTCAGAACACGATAACTAAACATAACATTTCAATGAATATGGAAAAAGACAATATTCGACATTTTAAAAAAAATTGAGTTTATCTATTTATTAATTGATAATATCGAACATGCCTATACTATGCTAGTGTGTTTGACAACCATTTCTGAGATACAAGGAAGAATCATATATATCGTTTGATCCATTAGGCTGGTTTAACCACAGTCATAATCTCAAATATATCGCTTAACACAAGTCTTTTGTTCTGATTTTGAAGTCAACTATCAAACAAGTGACACGTGGCGGGGTGAATATATATTCAAGAGTAAACGGATAAATATATTCTGCAAAGAAAAACCAAAGAAAGAATAGTTAGGAAGGAATCTTAAGGTTGAGAGTACTAAATTATTTGCAATTCAACAAAGATATGATGCTCTCTTAATTTGTCTCTTCTCCTCTCTGTGCATCATATCCTCTTTTCTGTGGACCTTAATTAAGTAAACGACCACCCTATTCTACTTTGCATATATTCTTCATTTCCAGGAATCTAAGTATCTACCTACAACCTGGGGTTAACTTGTTGCTAAGTGCACAGAAACTTGCATTTTCTTTTATTAAATTAACTGATATTCCAGCACATAGAAAACCCTAGTCTTCTAAATTAAAAGCCTAAACTTGCACGTCATCCACAACTTCAATCACAAGACAGCTGAATTTTATAATGCTAATACTCATCTACACAGTAATCATGAGCATTGACTCTTGAGGGAATAAAGCCACAGCTAAATAAGAGTGGTTTTTAAATTTAAAGTAGTTTACTGTCAATTCAAGAGTCTTCTTTTAGTCTTCATTAATTCTCGCTTCCTCCCACCAAATTACATGTATTATGAGTTTGACAAAGATATTAATTTATATTTATGACCAAAAACTATGCACTGGCACTACTTGCACAAGTTGTGATCCAAATTGTTTGAGATATATCAGTGAAGAAGCACTGTTAGCTGATTAGGGATTCATGACTGTAATGGCCGTATTGTGACCGAAGCTGATAATATTACCTTTATACTATCAACAGCTTATTGTCTTTCTCTTCCTTTGATGCACTTCATCTTTCCATGCTCTGCCGACAACTTGTCACACTTTAAGTGGTGGCTTATGTGGATTGTTTTGTACGGGTACATGAAGAAGCATATATTCCAAATCTGCTTAAAAAAAAGAGTATACTTTCATATGATAAAAGAAAATTCATATCTGTCAAATTTATGGGTTTGACAGGTCTTCTGGGAACCACTGACATAATGAGAAAACTGAGCTCATCCAAGTTTCTTGTGAGTTGTTAATCCTCTCAGTACTGACTAAAAATTATTAATTATTATTTTATTTCAAGGTCTGGCGTGTGTGCGCGCAACCACATTTATAGTTTTACAGAATTCAAAGTTGGGTAAATTAGCTGGTCAGAAAAAACTTGGTAAATATCAGTCTTATAATCGATTCCGCACTAGTTATATAGCAAACATAATCACAAGGAACATATCTTCCCCAAAGTACAAGATCTAGGTTTCCTGGACATTGGTTATAATAAATCGTCTCACTATACATGGATTCCAGCTCTAGAAACTGATGAGTCTGGTGAAAGATGATGACATGGATGTAGAATTAAATTATCGTAATCGTGTGTACAGGTGTTTGGTTTTGAGGTCAAAATCCAGCTCCCCACATCGCAGTCCACGGAGCATGGTCAAAGTCTCAGATAATTGAGAAGGAAAAAAAAAAAAGAAAAGAAAACCTATGATTCTGCCAGTTCACCATCAGAACCTTGCTCTTCTACTTTCTCTGGTTCTGCCGCTTGATCATCAGAACCTTGGTCCTCCCCTTTCTCATCCCCAGATTCTTTGACAGTCCTTTCACTGAATTTTAGGCGAAGTGGTCGCCCCATTAATTCCTGCAAGGCATAGCTCAAGGGTAAGTCATTTTCATTCAACATGAGAACTGAGACAAGCCTGAGAAGAAGTCAAATCTGTCTAAAATGACATCAAGAGAAATTACAAGGATAGTGGCCAGCTACAAGATGATAATTACCTTCCCATCTAGAGTAGAAATGGCAGCCTCTGCTTCATCTCTTGTAGAAAAAGAAACAAATCCATACCCAGCAGATCTTCCATTAGGGCTGTCAAAGACAACCCTGGCTGAAACCGGTGACTTGAAATTCTCTGCAAAGAATGCTCTGAGATGGCTAGATCTTGCTTTCCAGGCAAGATTCGACGCATAAATTTTATGGCTTGTTTCGCCGGCAGGGGGACTTTTAGGAGGGCGTGGAGGAGGAGGTTTCTTGAATCTCTTTGCAAGCTCTACCCTTATTATCCTGCCAGACAATTCCTATATTGCAGGGTTCTGAGTCAAGAGAATTGTTGCCAGACAGATTTTAGAGCAGATATTCAAATTAATTTTTTTGGTCATTCAGTTTTGGCACTGTTTGGTATATGCCAAAGCATTACACAGAGAACTTTTAGGATAGAAACGACTTGAACAATTTAGGATGTCCATATCACAAAATGGTGAGCCGAAAAACTGGACTTCCATTGATACTGTAAGTACAATAGATGTGTACAGTTAAAGTCACTTAGCTATATCAAACAGATACAACTAAAGCTTATAACTTAAACTAAGTATACAAATCAACTATAGAAGTATGGGTAGAAAAAGTTCTATTATTCCTCTATATAGTCCAAAATACTTCGCATGGGGAAAAACGTGGGTTAAAATTGTTCTAAGAAATGCAAGTGAAACTGACCTTACTACATGGACCCCATAAACAACAGAACTTCATCGTTTCATTAGGAAAACAAGCCACCTTATTTTGTAAACTGCTAGTGTTACTAAAAACTAGATCTTATACTAAGAATCAAAGGTAGTATCTTGTTTTTACGCTAAAAGTGTGACTGCTTCAACTGAAACGAATTGAAGAAGATAGTGTACAAATTCCGGCTCATTGATAATGTTTTGCAAAAGTCAAAACCAGTAAAAGACAAGTTTTTGCATACCAATTTCAACTGAAACTTGATTCTTAAGTACCAGATCATGCAAACGCAAAGACAAAGGATCACAACAATGAGGACAATATTCTCAAGTAAAACGCTCCGCAAACTGAAGAGGAAATTTAGTCAAGCTGGGAACGCCTAGGCTCATTGTGGAGCACAAGTGATTAAAATTCAGAGTTTGAAGAAAGCAAAACGTGATGTGATTCTGCCGTTTCCTAATTCCTAGGAGACGAGATTTGGCTTTCTTCATTGCTGACTATAGGCCTCTAGACATATAATTCCACGATGATGAATTATGAATAGAGCAATCCAGTTACTGATCTCTGACTGAATTGCCAGTGATAAATGCGATTAGCCATAGGGATTTCATGTCCTGATCATTATATCTCCCGGGGTTCTAGCACACTCGCATAGAATAACCCACAGAACTAGCAAATTATTTCTACTTTTTCAAAGAAAGGATCATTAAATGGTAATGCAAGGAACTCATCATCTAGACCCCAGTTCCCGAAGACCCGATTCTGCAAACGCTAGTCTGAGACTGTATCGATACACAGTACCAACTTTGAGAAAATGAAAACAAATATATGTAACAACATGTTATATCAGACCCAGAACGAAAAGTGCTTTCGACATATCAGTGCTATGTATAAAGAATAAAATTCTCAGACCAAACCGAAGAATCGCACTGAAATAAAACCACATAGAAGCAACTCACATGAGAGTCAAATTTATCAATTGCAGTCTGCGCCTCTTCCCCGGAAGCCATAGTGACGAAGGCAAATCCTCTGCTCTTGCCATCTTTGTTTTTTATTATCTACTTCAATTAAAAAGCAAAACTTCAACCTTCAAAATTAGAGAAATTAGGGGGGACGCGGGATAAGAACCCCAAATAAAGTTGCGAGATGAGAAATTGAAGAACCTCGACATCGGTTACAGTTCCGCATTGACCAAAGAGGTTCTTGATGTCCACCACCGATAGCGACCATGGTAGATTAAACACGTAGAGCTTCTTTTTTATGTTGTTTTCCTGGGTTTGCCCTGGGTTTTCTTCTGTTACCGCCTCTTGCAGCGCAGAGCATAATTCGAAGCAGAGCCTCCTGCTGGAGTCGATGGAGATAAACTCGAGGGACGACGCAACTGTGGGAAATGGGAAATGAGATAAAGAGAAGTGGAGACTTTGAGCTTTATCGAATCGAATGATTTGGTGGATAAAGAGTACTTATTAGAACAGCGGAAAGATCCCAAGACTGTGAGTCCAGATTCTAGAGTGGCCATTGATTGACAGTAAGGAGGACGAAGAAAGCGGATAAAGCTGAGGTTGGATATTTTTGAGTGTGTCAATATATATACAGGTTCAATGGCGTCCTCTTTGCCCTGACTAGGCATGCCTCCAAATTGAACTTCTTCCAACTACAGTTACAAGCTTGAATGAAAAGAAAATATATCAATATCTAAAATGACAAGTTTTAGAATGTAAAGATAAAATTTTGATAAATATATTCGATCGCAATAATCATTAATGTACTATATATATAAACAAAATTAAAACATTAACAAGAGAAGAGAAAGTGGACAGTAGGTTGAAATAGTTAGTGAGGCAAAAAAAAAAATTAAAATAGTTATGGCTAACTGTATTCTATTTTTCAAAAAACTTAAATTTATTAATTCTTTCCAATATAAAATAGATGATGATTTTTTTTTTGGGGCCTTGTTCGCTGACAGGATATAAAATGCCTTCCCAATCTCTCACATTCTTTATGTTGATGACTCTCTTTTCGTCTATGAGTGTACAATCAAGAGCTTGGTGCTGTAAAGATAGTACTCAATATGTATGCCTTGTGGTCAAGACAGGATTGTAATAAATATTTTCTTATTTTCAATCTAATGTCACGCATGCTATGAAGTTGTTGGGGAATCATTTGAATCCTCCTTAGAAAGTATCTTGATACTTGGGTTGATTCTGGCAGAAGTAAAGCTATTATTTATGATCAAGTTCTCACTTTGATTGAGCATCGGACGCATGCTTGGCAAACTAAGCTTCTCTCACAAGCTTCTCGACTCGCTTTGATTAAATCAGTCTTAGCAGTAGTGAATATTCATGTTCTTTCATGCGTAAGCCTTCCTCAATATGTTTACAACCGTATTGACTTTTTCTGGAGATTTAATGGTGACAAGAGCAGAACGCACTTGATAAATAGGAATGTTCTCTTCCAACCTAGAGAGAAATAGGGCTTGGGGCTTAGATCTACAGAGGTCATGAATCAGGTTCTACTAGCTAAACAAATATGGAGGATTATGACTGCTGAATCTGACTCTCTTTTGGGTGGCACTTTAAAGATTAAATATATTGATCTGAACTCTCATTCCGTCATTAGATTACTTATAACTCCTCTTGGATTTGGAAAAGCATTGCTGAAAATGTTCATCTGATTTTAGACAATCTAACTTGGAAGGTAGGAAATGGTGACTTGATCCCGGTGAGTCTCATGCACGGTGGCTGATTTGTTAATGCATGTTTTTTCTTCTTGGAATTGTTTGCGTTGGAATACTGCTTTAATCTCACACTCTATTCACATCATATAGCAGAGAAAATTATTAAAATTCCTGTCTCAATTTGCCTGATAGCCTTTCTTGGACTGGTAATGCCTCTGGTCTCTACATAGTTAGGAACTAGGTTGTTAGCCTCCAGTCACTCTTTTAATAATTTGAGAGATGAAGCTTTTTGGAGAGTCATATGGAAAGCCTTTTACCTTTTAAATACATTCTTCATTTCTAGAAACTGCTGCATAACGCACTTTCTTCTGGTGATATTCTTACCAAGCATCATCTGCCTGTCAATATTTTTTGCTTGTTTGGATGTGACAAGTTTGAATCTCTTAAAACATATTTTTTTGTTTTCATTGTCCACATAGTAGATCCTTATGGTTTGGATGTTTTTCTTTAAGAATACCTGATTTGGACTTTGATGGATTGAAGATTTAGATTAAGGATATTCTTCCGCAGTTGTATCATAATGAGCATCCCAATTTGTTCGGTGGGATTTTGTGTTTATTGGGAACTATTTGGCGCAAACAAAATCAAGCTATGCAACATGGAAAGAATGATGATCCTCATATGGTGATAAGAGAAATCAATGGCTCGCTTGCCCTCTCTCATATGGCTTTTGAAAAGCCAGCATGCTCTATTTTTTGATGTGGCAATCTTATGATAATTTCAGAAGATGATTTGAGAAATCTTGCAGATTGGAGCATTATCTTCCGTAAGTTCAAGCATCTACGAAGGCATTTTTGTCACTATGTTATTTGTTGGCAAAAGGCTGCTTTAACAGAATTTGTATGGAAAAATACTTCTGAGCCTGATTTGCCATTTCTATCTGGGTGCCTGAGAGCTTCTTTGCTATGGATTCGTAATTCTGATATAAGCAAGCAGGAAGAGCATCATGATTTAAATATTATGTAGGTTGATAAAATTTCTTTTACTATGAAGGTAGCTTATCATTGCCAATCTTCAACAATCACCTGGCAGGAAATTTTAGCTCTTCTTCATGATTTTCATGTTCTAACATTTTAATTAATTCCTTTTAATTTTTTTCTACTTGTTTTAGCACTTTATCAACATTGTTTCTTTTTAATATATCATTTTTCCTTTTCTTAAAAAGAAAAGGAAATAATAGATAAACTTTGCCCAATTCATACTTCATCTTGCCATTCTTACCGTGTGACTAGTTTCAGGGAACAAAATGGATAATTTTTTAAGGTGACAAACAAAATATATAGATTTTACATACCACCAACACCCAAATGGAAAGTGCGTGAGTATGAACTTTGCATTTAATATCACCTCCTCCTCTTTCAAGTCTTAATATAATAATCAAATAATTAATTTAAAAATATTAAAAGAATTAGTTAAATTAATTAATTATAATAATTAATAAAAATATTTTTAAAAAAGATGAAAAATAAAATATATTGAAGTCCTCTATTTAACATAAAATTCAACTTCCAACCTTTATATTAAATACTAGTATTTATAAACAAACAACTTTTTCCCCTTTTAATTGCTCCACATGTCTGAGCCAGAGAGAAGGTATGTGAAAACAAGTCAAGCTTGCTTCTGCAAAAGCATCAGAACCCATCAATGCATTCTTCTGATTTTTGTCCATGGCTAGCTGATCCAACTCATCAGATCTCCATATCATCTTTCCCTCCTCTCTTTTCCCGCGCAGCATAGTCCTTTCAAGGTAGGTTTTTCCAAAAAGTCAAGCTCAATGTGAATGTGCCCCAAAAATCAAAACCCTCATGTATATTAAAATGATCTCTACTTGGTAATGGCCCCAAAAATTGCTTTAATCAGTAGCTATCACTAGGGATCCAAGGAAAGGAACAAATATTTGTGGGGCACTCTTGTCTTGGTTACAACAAAACAAAATACCATCTTTGTATTTGAAGAAAGCAATCAAACACACTATCAAGCTCGCCCTCTGATCCCCTGAAGATGGCACTGAGCAACCATGCCATCGGAGCGATCAACTTCGTTGCCGTACTCCTCGCAATCCCGATAATCGGCGCCGGAATTTGGCTAATGAACGAGCCTGCAAATGCCTGCGTTAAGACACTACAATGGCCGGTCATTCTACTTGGGGTTCTGATACTGCTGGTGGCTCTAGCTGGCTTCATTGGAGGGTTCTGGAGAATCCAATGGCTCCTCATTGTCTACATGGTGGCCATGCTCGTGCTCATTATACTTCTGGTGTGCTTGGCGGTGTTCATCTACATGGTCACGCTCAGAGGCCACGGCGACATTGAACCCAACCGAGCTTACTTGGAATACCATCTCGACAACTTCTCCGGCTGGCTCCGCCGCCGTGTCAGGAGTTCCTATAAATGGGACGGCATCAGAAGCTGCCTTAGCGCCTCCAATATGTGTAATGAGTTGAACCAGAGTTATCGCATGGCTCAGGACTTCTTCAACGCACATCTAACGCCCATGCAGGTACCTACATGATTTTATCTAATTTCATCATCAGTTTTTACGGTGTCTTTTAGGCTTGTTTGTTTTTCACTTGCCCTCGGCCAATCATCCCAGAAAGTAAGATTTCCTTATCAAGATTCTTCAACCTTGAGTTATGAACCTACTTTTTCTTTTTTTTTCCTGTCCGCATTCAACTCTTTTGCTTTTGTTTTTCTTTTAGTTAACGCCCGACTGTCCTTAGATTTGGCTCCAAACTATGTTCCTTTCTGTGCAGTCTTAATAAAGATGCAACCTTTATGATATCCTTAGATTTCGTTTTGAAAATAAGTGCCTTGGGTTTTTAACTCGATGTTGTTTATGTGTTTTTGAGATGTAGTCTGGATGCTGTAAGCCACCAACACAATGTGGGTACACTTTTGTGAATCCAACCTACTGGATAAGCCCCATTAATACAGCAGCTGATATGGATTGCCTTCAATGGAGCAACGACCAGACCCAAGTGTGCTACAACTGCGACTCGTGCAAAGCTGGGTTACTGGCAAATCTCAGGAAAGAATGGAGGAGGGCTAATGTCGTTTTGATCATCACTGCCATTGTCTTAATCCTAACTTACCTCATAGGTTGTTGTGCCTTCAGGAATGCCAAAACTGATGAGATGTTTTAGCAAATACAGGCAAGGCTACACTTGAAATTAGAAATCGGTGAGACCTGAAAGTGAAGCTCATGTACTGGTAGAAAGCTATATAGTTCTCAACAGCTAGAGAGCAGAGTCTGTATTGATTCTCAGTGGGGTTTGTGTTTGAAAAGTGGTCTGTCCATTATTTATGATTTTGTATCTCTTTTTTTGAATCATCTGAAAAGATGTTTGGACCTTTTATGAATAGCGTTTGAAACTTTGGGGGTGGGATGGGAGAGGGTCCGCGTGATTTGCGTCATAGAGGCCACCGAAAGTTGATTTCTCGAGTTACTAAATGCTTATATATTGACACTATACTATCACTGTCCAAGCATCACAAGGGCTACTTTCTCACTTTACTGGAGGGTTTTCTGGGTTTTTGTTACAGTTTGATTTGTTTATTATTAATTAATGCCTATTCGTATTCAGAATTTGCCTCGTCAAAGTTGCTGCTGGGGAAAGTGATTTGGATTATATATAATGAAACAACATGGATAATCAATGAGAGGATCCTTTTGATTCCAAAGCTTCCTTTTGATCCATCTTCATGTTTTGAATGTATCATTGCCTTGGCTGGATTGATATTAACAAGAAAATATGGGATGGGAAAGCCATGATTGCTCGCAGC